TTCTTCACAGTCCCTTTGTATCTTTTTTTTTTTCTTCTATTGCAGTTGCAGAGGAACAAAGAAGCAAGATGTCCAATTTTATACGTACAATAACGCAAGTAGCTGTTTAATTTATAGATTTTGTTCTCCATAAGGTGTGTTTTGAAATAAATACCTGGAAGGGGAAGTCTCCAGTGCAGACAAAGCACAAAAACTCCACAGCAGGTGGAGTCACTTGCCCTGCTCTTTTCCCCCGCCCTTATCAGACTGAGGGATGGAAGTTTCTCATACCTTTTAAATTATGGTTGAGAGGAAAATATTGGTTTGAGCTGAGAAATCCAAATCCCAGCTTTTGCAGAAACTGAATACTATGGACAAGTGACTTTTTCCAATATCCATAGTCTTCTAGGTATTGAATTCAGAGACTATATACAGAAGGACTTCATAGACACAGCTGTGGGAGACCCATGCTCATCTCTCTTCTTAATTCTTTTCCATAGGCTCTTGAACACACCTAAGGTGCTTTTGCCTTTTCCCTCTGATGGGAAAACCACATGCTCCCTCTATGTCCTCCAACAAGCTACCCAGCTTTTTTCCCAGAAATAGTCTTGACCCTTGGTTAACAGCATTATTCCATCAATTCCTCTAAAGCAGCTGTATTTACTAAGCTGAAAGAAGGAAACCTTGATGACATCCTGCAGGGTGACTGCTGGTTTCAATGCCTCATCATCCAGTTTCAACATGAGGCACAGAAGTTTCTCCAAAGGACCACTCAGTTCTCGCTCCACTTGGCTGTCGATTCCCCAGTCCAGGGCTTCATAGATCACCACTCCCAAGTACTCCAACAGCTGCAGACAGAGAGCAAGGAAGCAGTGCAGCACAAAGTGTTGTGGAGAACTTCACAGCTCTCACTTCCCAGCTGTGCGTATACCCTCCAATGTCCCCTCAGGGCTGAGCACATCTCTCGGGATGAGAAGGGCCCAAAAGGCAGCTAGGTGCTCATGGGGTAGCCTGAGATACTCCCTAAATAAGCTGGTTTAAGATTTTTAAATGGCCTTATCTAGCACCTCTAAGTTAGCTGTTATTAAAACAAAAAGACTGTGGGCTTTTCTACAGTAATCAGTATCTGCGCACATCGTTTCCCAATCCCATCGTCTTACTTGAGCTCAGTCCTAGCATTTTGTTTCATTTTCCAGATTGCAGGGGAGACTGAGTTACTCTCAGAGAGCACAGCGAATCTGAGCACCTTGATAGTTTCCAAAGACACCTGCATCTCCTGAACTGGCTTTCTACTACAGCAGGATTATATCTGCACACGTAACAAAGGTGAAGATACCGGCTTACCTTGTCCTCTGACTGCTGAATGCTGCCAACATCTGAAAGAGAAAAAAGAGGGTAGGGGGGGAGGTAACTGCATAGGCATTGACAAACAGCTTTGAGAATCCCTATCAAGAGAGAGAGAGAAATGGGAAGAATTCTCAGTAATAAGGAAACAAACTCCTCTGATTAAGGTCAGTCCCACCTGGGGAAAGTAGGCCTATATTTGGGGACTCCTGGAAAGCAACACAAGATACTCCTCTTATTATGAGCATTAGCCCCAAACTAACTGCTTCTGGGTGCTTTTTTGTTTGCTAATAGATACCTAACCACAAGGAAGGCACTAGACCTTTGTCTTCATTCTTTTTTACCCGTTCTTGTCCCTGAAGAGTTAGCCTAGCATTGACCTCTGCAGCAGTGCAACCAAGTGGTGCGTAAGACGGGCTTGTTGCCACATGCTGGCTACACATAGTGACAAAAAAGGGAAACTGTCAATCATAGATCTGCTGTGAGAGTTACTATAACAAAGGAACCACACATTGGAAGATGAAGAGAGCAGGACATACAATAAAGACTCAGACTATTGATTTCAAATAACATAAGTAGTAGCAAACTTTCACCCCAGCTATTCCCTAGAACCAAATGACTCGCTAGAGCACTATTAGAAAAATTAGTAGGCCATACACCTGTATTACCACTCATCTACAGTCCTTTGAAACGGAGCATAGGCAGCAGAATAGCTTCATGGCAACAAACTGAGAAAGGAGAGGGAGGAAAAAAAAAAATTCCCCACATTTCAGCCCATTATAGGAACAGCCCTTGGCATCCACAGCTACCTATGCTCTTACCAGCCTTGTGGTACACCTTGAAGGAAGCAGTACCATCAGCATGGATAAAGATGCTTCCAGGACCTTTTATGAATACAGAATGGAGTGGTGGGCATGGTCCCTGTGCCAGCTGCTCCATTTTACGGCAACACTGAAAGCAGACAGCCCAGGCTTGCTCCTCGCTTACAGGATGTTCAAAACACCTCAGAATCTCAGCTAGAGAGACCTTTGTGATCCTCTGCTTGCTCTGTGGAGGCTCCATTTTCACCTTTAACCTCTCCATCACCACCCTTAGCCTAGGAAGCTTAACACCCCCCTTTCCATAACAGGCAAGTGCTCACAGCAGCCTTTTATCAGTTCTGCCTCCTGGTTTGGTCTCACCTCTCTTCCCTGCAGGTGTGATCATTAATGCCAATTTTGCTCAGTCTTTTTAAAGGGACACCACTTCAATCTGTATTTGTATGAGACTCCTAGAAAGAAGACAGGAAGTATAACAAAATGGAATCTAAAGAAAAGATGAGACTGTAGAAAAATCATGCTCAATTTAACTCCATTGCTTCAAACAAGTGTATTAATTGGAATACCAATGTTGGCAGGTAAGAAAAATGTACATTCAACTTCAGGGAGGAGGCAGGAAGTAATGCCTTATACTCAGGGGAGAACTCACAGAAGACCACAAAAATTCAATCCATTTGATAGGAAATTATTCTGGGAGCACTAATCCTTTACAGCAATTGGCTCCACAGGGCACCTGCATCTACCACAGGCCCCGCTCCTGCCTGGCTTTGACCCTTTGGCCCTGCCACAGCAAATCCCAACAGCTAGGGCTGGGAGCAACACGTGCAGGGACCAGGCAGGCTGGGTAGGCACCCAGGGCCAGGGCAGCAAGGCCTGTCCTTGTTCACAATGCTAATACGAATGGCTACTGGTGTGAAGTAAGGTACCCAGCCTGCGTTGCACTTTGGGCTGTGTGTGCGTGTGATGGGGTAGGGGGGAGGATGGACACAGCTGTGAAGGGATGCTAAAGGGTTGACAAAAAGACCTTTGTGAAGCCAACTGTAGCTAGAATATGCTGATAGCTGTAGGATGTGGCTCACAGTGGGAGATGCCAACCTGTCTGGGAGCTTTCGAGATGGTATCTTTTTGTAACAGGATTAACAGATCCTGAATGGGTTCTTCAAGTCACTCTGAAGCACCCCCAAGATAAGTGACCCCCAAAATAAGCGCAGAAGGACCAGGCCTTGCCACTCAGTAGTCAACTTATGACCACCATGGAAGAAAGGCCCAGAGGTCATGGAAGATGACCATTGAGAAGCCCCTCCACAATGACCACTGAGGACCCCCAAAGACCACCAACTCAAATCACTGAGTACGCGTGATTGGGAGGGCAATATGTAAATGAATTTCAGGAAATTGTCATATGTATGTAAAACTTGGATATAAGCTATGCAACTAACCCTGAGTGGCGCTCACATTAGGAGCTATCCCCTGTGCGTCCGGCACTGCAACATAGAATACCTGGCTTGATAGTCTGGCAAATTGACTATTGAGTCCTGATTTCAGCTTTTCACAGCTTCAGTTGCCTGGCTTGTGACAGCGGTCATCCCCTGAAGAACTCTTGCTGCCGCAGGGCCTGCAGTGCATCGCAGGGGACCTCCGCTGCAGCTGCTCTGAGCAGCCCAAATTCCTGAGGCAGGCACTGAAGAACTGCGAGGTTTAAAAAGCGTGAATAACACTCCTAGTTCTTTCCCTTCTCACTTAGGACATTTTGGGAACGCAGCACATTAAGACAGGCCCGGGCCCTCGGAGAGGTGTCCAGGCCAGCCTGCCTCTCCGGCACGTCCCCATGAGCTGCCCGCTCACAGGCAGCACACCCGCGGCGGCCGGGGGCTCACGGCTGGGCAGTGTTTTCTGGGCTGCCCCGTGGCCTTTACCCCGCCCC